TTGAGGGTATTGCCTGCATGTATGTCAGTGCACCCATGTTGTGCAATGCACTGCCCATGGAGGACAGAGGAGGGTGCCAGATCCACCACGTGGGTGCTGGGATTCAAACCTGGGTCCCCTGCAAGAGCAGTCAGTGCTCTTAACTGCTCAGCCATCTCTCCAGCCCCCAAAGAAAAAAAATTGTTAAAAGACATGTAAGAATATTCTCTAATTACTCTCTCCAGGGCCTTTAGGTAAGAATATAAAAACTCAGCCACACTGAAACAGGATAAGCCAGAAGGAACTGGACAACAGACTCTTCAGACTTCACGAAGAGCGCATGTCGGTGAAGGAATTTTCTTGTAAGCAACAGGATGAAATCAAAAGGTACCTAGACTTCTTAAATTTTCAAATGCTGTAGCTATACCATATTCAGTCTACACTAGGGAAAAAGATGTCCATACCAGAAAAATGACTCAAATGTCAAGGACATTTGGCTCAAAAATAATTTTTCAAACAGTATTGCTTTTCTGTTTTCCTACCACACACATCATAACTTACCATCAACTACAGAGCATTACATATAAGCTGCACAGAACAACAGCCTAAGCGGGCTTTTCCAAGTGTACAAGGGGGACCGGAGACAGGGTGAATGGTAAAGTCTCGGCGGAACCAGGGCTATAGAAGCAAGTGCAAAAAGCTCTTTTTTTTTTTCAAACATAAGCATTACCTTGACTCTTTACTGTATGCAGGCATGTGTGTGCTTCTGTACATACATGAACTGTTTAGTATTATAAATGCTCTTAAATAGTGTGAAGGCAGTATTATTAGGAGGAAAAAGGAGACCCAAAGAGGTTAAATAACTTGCCCAAGATCACACCTAGTGTGCATCAGATCTAAAAGCTCTTAACTGTAAAACATGCTAGAGTCAGTGATCTTAGGTTATTGGCTTTCCCAGGTGACTCTCTGGGTGACACGTGGAAAAGAATCTGAGAGAGGGGTTCAGAGAGATAAACACATAGAAGGACGGGAGTTCTGAAGCCCATCTCTAAGACCCTTTAAGACACTGGAATCAGGGACTTCTAGCCAAGACCACTAGCACCATACATGAAGTTGAGCAAGTTGAACTATCTACTCATTACAGCTTAGAGAGACAGAACATAGAGAAAATGCATAGCATGCTAAAACTAAAGGCATCTCAGTAAATGTAGGAAATACAGTATCTGGGCTTGGATTGGAACATTAGAGGAGAATAAATAGGGGTTTGCTCCAGATTTGGTGCTGTCAGACTGCAGGGCCAATTCTATGCCTATGTAGCTCCCTAACTCCTATTTACATGGAAGTTAGAGCAAGAGTGGACCTGTGATTGGTAAAGAAGTTGCATTCTGTCATGTAAGTACAGATTTTTAAAGTTTATTTTTATTTTTTGTTTCATTAAAAAAATTTTTTTTTGGTCTTTTTGAGACAGAGTCTCCCCTGTAGCCCCAGCTGGCCTGGAACTCACTTTGTAGACCAGGCTGGCCTCCATCTCACATATCTGCCTGCTTCTGCCCCTGGAGTGCTGGGACTAAAGGTATGTGCAACTATGCCTGGTGGGGCTGGAGAGATGGCTTAGTGGTTAAGAGCAATGGACTCAAGTTCAGTTCCCAGCACCTACATGGTGGCTAACAACCATCTGTAACTCCAGTTCCAGGGGATTCACACCCTCTTCTGGCTTCCACAGGCATCATATGCACTTGGTGCAGTTACATACATGCAGAAAGAACACTCACACACATAAAATATAAAATAAATAAAAATTTAAAGTTTAGATTATTTTTATGTCTTTGTGTGTTTGTGTGTGTGTGTGTGTGTGTGTGTGTGTGTGTGTGTGTATGTGAGACTGCCACAAGTGTGTCAGAAGAGAGCATCCAGTTCTTTGGAGCTGGAATTACAGGTTATAAGCTGCCTGACATGAGTGCTTACAACCAAACTCAAGTCCTCTAGAGGAGCAGTAAGCCAACTTTTTTTTTTTTAATTTTATTCATTATTTTTATTTTATGTATATGGGTGTATTGCCTGCATGTATGTAAGTGTACCTGTGTCATGCAATGCCCACGGAGGTCAGAAAAAGGCGTCAGATCCCCTGGTACTGGAGTTACAGATGGTTGTTAGTCACTATGTGGGTGCTGGGAATCGAACTCATTCGTCTGCAAGTGCTCTTAACCACTGAGCCATCTCTCCAGAGACCCCTTTTGTGTTTTGAGATAGGACCACACTACATAGTCTGGCCTGGCCTGGAACTTACAGCAGTCCTGCATCTGCCTCCCCAGTGCTGAGCTCACACTTGCTTTTCTTCACTCCGTCCTATTCTCTAAGGGCTGTAGCTAGGGTGTCCTAGAAGAGAATAACATGGCCTACCTGTGAGTACCAGGGCAGCTACAAACAAAGCTGAGGACTAGCTGTGTCAGACTCTGCCGCTGAAAAGCCTACAGCCCTTCCCAACAGCATCACCTCTGGAGACCAAACTTTATTGTGTAGACCTCTAGGGAACATTCATCTAAACCACAGCAAGCCAAAAATATCTTGCTTCTTAGTTGATAACCAAAGAGGACATAAGGTCATAGATATTAAAGTGACTGAATTAGATTCTGTTCCCCCCTCTTCCCCTCCAGCTTTGGGTAGGGCACCTAGCTATTTCATGTCCTGATTTTTTGTGTATGTGTTGTTGTAGTTTGAGACAGGGACTCACTATATAGCTCTGCTGGCCTGGAACTTGCTTTGTACACCAGGGTGGTCTCTAACTCAAAGAGATCTATCTGCCTCTCACCACCACACCCAGCCTTTTTTTTTTTTTGGTCTTTTTGAGACAGGGTCTCCCTGTAGCCCCAGCTGTCCTGCAACTCACTGTGTAGACCAGGCTGGCCTTGAACTCACAGAGATCCGCCTGCCTCTGCCTCCCGAGTGCTGGGATTAAAGGTATGCGCCACCACGCCTGGCTGATTTATTATTTTTTTAATCTGAATATAATAATGTGCAGTAATAATGCTTTAATACAACATCACTGTTTTAACTTTGCATATTTAGTTTATATAATCTTCACAACAATCTGGTGAGGCAGATACTATTTTTATCTCTATGGGTGAGGAAAGTAAGCACAGAATATTTAAGTGACATGCCACATTTTCAAATGTCCAAATAGGCTTGCTACAGTATTTGGTTGACTCAGACTGCCATAACAAAACTCCATAGGCTGTGTAGCTTAAAGAACAGAAACTTTCTCACAGTGCTAGGGGCCGGATTAAAGTGCCAGCATAGCCAGGCTCTAGTGAGGGATATCAGACTGCCTCTTTTTCATTTTGTTTTGTTTTGTTTGTCTTTTTGAGACAGGGTATCTGTGTAGCCCCTGCTGTCCTGGAACTCACTATGTAGACCAGGCTGGCCTTGAACTCACAAAGTGCTGGGATTAAAGGCATGTGCCACCAAGCCGGGCCCAGACTGCCTCTTTTTTAGCATCACCTGGGGGTGGGGACGACACAGGGGTAGGAGGTTAAGGAGGGATGACTCTCTGGTTATGAGGCCACAGTTGTATGTGATCACAGCTCTACCCTTATGACCTTTTTCAGTTTTAATAATCTCCTACAGACCTAGACTGAAGGTACAGTGACCCTGGAGGTTAGGACTTCTGTATATTAATTGTGCTGGGGAGGGAGCGATTTAATTCAGTCCTTAGCACAGTGAGACCAGAGAATATGAGGACCATAAAAATCATGATTTGTGGCTGGGCATGTTGGCACATGCCTTTAATTACAGCACTTTAATCTCAGCTCCTGGGAGGAGGCAGGCAGATCTATCTCTGTGAGCTCTAGGCCAGTCTATTTGGATGGAGAGCTTCAGGCCAGCCAAGGCTACATAGTGAGACCCTCTGTCAAGCAAAACAAAATAAAACAAAACATCCCCTCCCCATGATTTTAGGGCACAAACAGCAATCAGCTAATTGTGATAGATAAAGCTTGGTGTCTAGCAGGAGTTAAAAGGAATGATTATCTTTTTTTGTTAGTTTTATTTTTTTTTCTACTTGGTTTGTTGTTGTTTTTGAGACAGGGTCTCCCTACAGCCCCAGCTGGCCTGGAACTAGCTTTGTAGATCAGGTTGGCCTAAAAACTCACAGAGATCCACCTGCCTCTGCCTCCCGAATGCTGGGACCAAAGGCATGGGCCACCAAGCCCAGCTTCTATTTGGTTTTTTGTTTGCTTGTTTGTTGAAGCAAGGTCTCTCATGATGATCTTCCTACCTCAACCTCCCAGTGCTGGGGTTCCAAGTGTAAGCTATCACACAAGGCAGAGAATACTATAATTTAGGGTACATATACAGCAGTGTGTGAGGAAGTTGCATGGGAGGGGTGAAAACTTTACTTACATTTATCATTTCTTTAGAAACATTTTTAAAAATATTTATTTTTTAAATTTTATGTGTATGAGTGTATTGCCTGCATTTATGTGAGTGTACCTGTGCCGTGCAATGCCGCAGAGGTCAGAAGAGGGCTTCAGATTCCCCTGGAACTGGAGCTAAGGATAGTTCGTAACTGCCATGTGGGTGCTGGGAATTGAAGCAGATCCTCTGCAAGAGCAGTCAGTGCTCTTAACCACTGAGCCATCTCTCCAGCCCCAGAAACTGTTTTTTTGTTGTTGTTGTTTTGGTCAGGCATTGTGGTGCCCATTTGGAATCCTAGCACAACACTGGGAGGCAAGAGAATCACTGCAAATTCAAGGCCAGCCTGGTCTACATAGTGAGTTCCAGGCCTGGTGGATTTACAGGGAGACCCTGTCTCAAAAAGACCAAAACAAACACCCCAAACAAACAAAACAACCCCTTGCAGTTTGTTTTATAATAAATATAACTTATTAACACAGAAACATACACATGCACTTTGGGAGAGTGCTCCAAACTTCCTTCAACTGCGACAGTTGCCGCTGACATCAATGCCCAGCTCACTGTGTGACGGAGGACAGAAAAAACATTTTCTTTTTCCATTGTAAATAATGGACTACAATAAATGGATTCCTATCACAAACCAGCTGATTGTCTCCAAACACACGGCAGAAATCCCTAGTAAAGAAGACTCCAAGGCGGGGGCCCAGCTCAAATGGAACCCTGGATTCAAGGGGTGCAGAGTGGGGAGGTCACGTGGTCTGCTTTGCCCTAGGCAGAGGAAGTCCTCGCGGAGGGAGGCCTGCTGGGACCTGCGGACACTGGTGCCCGGGACCGCGCCCTTGGGGGAGCCTGCGGGGAGGCCCTCCTCGCTCCAGGGGCCCGCGCAGCTACAGCACGCACGCCACACGACCTCTGGCTGCGCCCGGCCTCACACGCAGGTGGCACGGAGACCGCCCCGCAGAGCCGCGGCGCAGAAGTCCAAGAAGGGTGAGGCTTGCCTGGCCCTTTTGGTCGTTTTCTCGCCCTTCCACCTCCCTAAAATCTCTTTTTTTCCTGAGTGGAATGTCAGGTCGAGCTTTCTGAATTCATGGCTGGGGTGAATCTCACTGGTGGAGCGTTTGCTTAGCCTGCCCGAAGCGGTAGGTAAATCCCCAGGGCCACCGAAAAATAAACCGAACTAAAGAAGCAAAAATCAAGGGCAAGAGGTAAAGAGGGTATGAGTGGTAAGGAATCAAACCAGAAGATTATCTGAGGGAAGGAAGGAACCCCCAGAGGACGGGGGGGGGGGCGAGAGAAGGGGAAACAGAGGTGGCACATGTGTATGAAACCCATCACTTTGTTAATCTAAAACACAAAAAGTCAACAGTGTGGAGTGAGGTAACCCACACGTGTAACCCCAGCACCCTCTCTCTCTCCTGCAGAGTTAAGAGGCAGGAGGATCTCTGCAAATTCAGGCCAACTAGGGAGACCACTACTTCAAAACAAACATACACCCTGTCAGTTTCTAGGGAACATTGCCAGAGAGAACCCGGTAATGGAAAAGGGAATTTTGCTGGTGGGTAGCACAGCAGTCTAGGAAAGAGATACCGAGAGCATTGTGCATTCTGCTCAGGTGTGAACCGCTGTGCCTCTGAAACTGGACTTCTTAGCTTTGGAGGGGAAGTGGAATCCTTTGAAGTTGTAACCAAATTTGACTATGCACACTAAAGCTACATACAGTTTCCATAGGCTCCGAGTTTTCCAAGTGTAGTCCTGACTAAGGTCTAGTTATACAAGTCAGGCGGCAAATAACCACTGCCAGTTGAGTTTTTTCCTCCTCTGTGTATGCCGAGTGGTAGAGTCTGAGTCTGGTCTGGTGGTTATGAAATCCAACACCAGCCTCCAAAAGGCACCCCACTCCCAAGGACCTGCTGAGGACCTATATTTAAGAACTTTTGTTGCTGTCCTTTTGCTTTATGTACTTTGTATTCCAGACAAGCGAACTTTTGCAAAAACAGCTGAAAGAGAAAAATAGGAGTCTAAATTTTAGTTGTGAGCCAGGCACGGTGGCTCATACCTTAGCACTCAGGAGGCCAGTTCCAGGCCAACTTGGGCTACAGAGTAACACCCTGTCTCAAAAAAACAATAATATATGAACGAAATAAGTAAATTTCAGCAACAGTTCAGTGTTCTTGGGTACTGGTTGTATACCAGGCAGGACCCGTTGGGGCTGGATACATAGTCCCTGATCAGAATAAGCCCGTGTCTTTCTTTCCTCTCACTAGTTCTCACTGAGTCAACTCTCTTTGGTTTAAGACACTTGTAGGTGTGAGTCTATGCAAGAGTAAGAAGACTCTCCGTGGGGACAGTGGTCACATAAGGATTTCCCCCCAGGTCTCAAGGCTCTCGGTGGCCAGCACTTAGTGTCCTAATTTTGGTATTGTTCTTGCGGTCCTGTGGCCACATTTTGTATCTTTTTCTGTCTAAACTTTCAGGTCCAAAAGACAGGCTCAGCTACACAGCCCCGCCTACATTCAAGGAACATCTGACAGCCCCGCCTACATTCAAGGAACATGTGACAGATGAAAAAAACAGAAGCGAAGCAACCAGTGACTCCAGTCAAATGTGAGTTCCTCTCTCCTGCCCCAAGAAGCTTTAATTGGAAATTGGAACTACATCATTTAAGGATCATTCTTGTTGATGCTTTCCAGGATAACCAGAGCCAATGAAAGTTAGCTAGCTCTAGGTCAAATTCCAACGTCACTGTTTGAAAATCAACAGGCCCATGCCCATAATCCCAGTGCTTTCTTTCTGGCTGAGGAAATGCAGATAAAGTTCCTTTTCTCGACTAAAGCTTTGCCTCTTCTTTCTTGTTAGTTTTTAATCTCCTGTATTGTAATTCATTTACATATCCACTTGACATTTGAAGGCTATATAAGATTCTCCTCCGTATTTGTTAAGATAACCGACTCTTAGGCCAGTAGTGGTGGCGCAGGCCTTTAATCCCAGCACTTGGGAGGCAGAGGCAGGCAGAGTTCCTTTTCTCGACTAAAGCTTTGCCTCTTCTTTCTTGTTAGTTTTTAATCTCCTGTATTGTAATTCATTTACATATCCACTTGACATTTGAAGGCTATATAAGATTCTCCTCCGTATTTGTTAAGATAACCGACTCTTAGGCCAGTAGTGGTGGCGCAGGCCTTTAATCCCAGCACTTGGGAGGCAGAGGCAGGCAGATACAACTGACTCTTTAAACTTCTTTTTGTAAGTGCAGAGCCCAGTTCTAAACCCAACAGCAAGTTTCTGTTTCTCTTCTCTGAGTTCAATTGTCCTAATTCTAATAGTATGATTTTTTTTATCAGCAAAGTCATAATTTTGGCTAAACTCATTGGTGTATGTCTGCCTGACAGTGTTCACGTTATGACTGCTGACACTGTGCAAGTGGGAGAGCCACCCACATCTGCTGAGAGCGTGTGGTCCAGAGATGAGAACCGCGAGCAGGGACGCCCGTTGGCGTGTGCCCAGAAGGCTGCAGAGCTTCGGTAAGAGCAGAGCACAGCGTTCTGTGCCTCAAGCCGTGATGAGCAGAAAATGTAATAAGAGATCTGTATCTGCACCTTACCTCACGCCAGAGGAAAGATTATTAGAGGATTCGATTCAGTCTGAGAAACAGAACTGATCCAAATACATTGCGTGTGGAGAGAGGCCGCGGGGCCGCTGGGAGGTGATCCAAATACAATGCGTGAAATTCTCAGAGAGTTAATGAAAATATAAAAAAGACATAGGTGGGGTAATTATTCCTTCAGTGAGATGGTGTACTTTCCGTTCCCAAAATTCCTACTCCTAGTGCAGTGTCCACAGCTGTGCAGCCTTGTTAAATGTGCCTGATTTGGGCATCACATTCTCTAACACACACACACACACACACACACACACACACACGCACCCGCGCCCCCATCCACATGGCTCACCTCCACTGCCTTAACTCAAAACTGCCTGTCTTTTTTCTGTCTCCATTCTCCTCTGAAATGTATACCCTAACCCTGGGTGTCTTAATAAAATTGCCCTCAAGCTTAAGAAAGAAAAAAAGACAGATTGTCCCACCTTTTTTTTTTTTTTTTTTAAGACAAAGTCTCACTGTATAGCCCTGAGTATCCTGGAACTCACCCCGAGGACCAGGCTGGCCTTGAACTCACAGACATCTGCCTGTCTCTGCCTCTGCCTTCCAAGTGCTGGGATTAAAGGCACATGCTACCATGCCCAGCCTGTCCCTACCTTTTAAAAAAATTATTTATTTAAGCCGGGCATGGTGGTGCACGCCTGTAATCCCAGCACTTGGGAGGCAGAGGCAGGCAGATCTCTGTGAGTTCAAGGCCAGTCTGGTCTACAAAGTGAGTTCCAGGCCAGCTGGGGCTCAGGGAGACCCTGTCTCAAAAAGACAAAAAAAAATTATTTATTATTGTGTATTTGATGCATATGTGTGCATACATGTGCCTGCAGGTACATGCATGCCATGACACGTGTGGAGGTGAGAGGACAGCCTTTGGAATTTGCTTCTTTTTCTTAGATCAAGAGTTTTGGGGATGAAACTTAAACTGTCAGACTTCTGTGGCAAGTAGTGTTTTATCTGCTGAGCCATCTACTGACCTGTGTTCCACCTCTTGACGTTGCAACACTACTGTTGTTATCTACAAAGTTCCAACTCAAGAGCAGTGCAATCAAGTTACCAAAAACAAATTCCCCAAAAAGGGGGCTGAGGGCCGGGTGGGCTTGGTGGCCACCTTTAGTCCCAGCACTGCAGAGGCAGAGGCGCACAGATCTCTGTGAGTTCAAGGCCAGCCTGGTCTACTGGTCTACACAATGAGTTCAGGCCAGCTAGGGCTACAAGGAGACCCTGTCTCAAAAAAACCAGAAAAAAAAAGATGACTAGAAGTTTAATATAGGAGTCCTGTCCAAGGACCAGCTTTCTGCAGACTCTTAATCTAGGCTTTCACCATTTGTGACCTTTTGTGTTCCTGGGCCTCTGTTGTATGAGGGAGCTTCATTGAGAATTGAGATATTCATTAGTGTCCTCTTTACCCCTTGTTTTATGTTGTGTGAGTCACAAAAATTCAATTAAAAATCAAAAGAAAAGAAAAATGACATTAAAAATCAATGAGAAAAAAAAAAGCCTGGAGAGCCAGCGATCTGGCTCACTGGATAAAGGACCCTGTCACCATTCCTGACAACCTGAGTTCAATCCCCAGAACGACATGATGGAAGGAGAGAATCAGTTGCTGCAAGTTGTCCTCTGACCTCTACACAGATGTAGTGGCATACACAGGCAAACACACAATAAATAATAAACGTAAAAGATTAAAAAAAATAGAAACAAAGTCTCATTATGTAGCATGGAACTCCTTATGTATACCAGGTTGGCCTCAAATTCAGAGACTCTGGATTAAATGCATGCACCACCGTACCCAGAAAATAAATAAACCAGGGTCTGGGGAGATAGAAAACTGCTTGTCACACAAGCATGACAACCTGGGTTTGGATCCTCCGCACCCACATAAAAGCCAGGTGTGGCAGCATGTGCCTGTAATCCCAGACCTTGGATATTGGAGGCAAGTGGATCCCTGGGGCTTTGAGGGTTGACTCCTGCATTTAGTCACATGCATTTAAGATTCCACCAGGTTTCCACTACTTGATAGCAACCCTCTCTGCCACCACAGGCAGAATAAGTCGGTTGCACTGTAGTTTATCCATTCAGCTTCTGAAAGCTATGTTCAGTGCTGAAAGCTAAGTTGGTTGCTTCTGGTTGTAAATACAGCTGTTATAAGTACAACATTGTATGCAAAATTTTGTGTGGATGTAAGTTTTCAACCTCGAGACATTTTTTTTTTTTCTTTTGAGAAAGGGTTTCATGTAGCCCAGGCTGGTTCAAACTCACAATAGAGCAGAGGATAACTTTAAACTTCTGATCCTTCTCCCTCTACCTTCCAAGTGCTGGGATTTTAGGCATATACCACGAAACCTAGCTTATACAGTGCTGGGATCAAACTCAGGACTTCCTGCACACTAGGCAAGTATTCTACCAACTGAGCTTCATCCCCAACCCCATAGAGACTTGTTAAAACAGGGAACACTTGAGCCCCATGTCAAAGACTGACTCCCTTTCAATTACCTGGAGGTAGAGTCTAGGCAACAGTATAATTTTAAAGCTAACTCTTGAGTAGCTAGGACTCAGAGTTACTAAGATAGAATATAGTGGGCCCAAGTCCTTCCTAATACCCTTCAAGCAATTTTTTTTTGTCTTTTTGAGACAGGTCTCCCTATAGCTCCAGCTGACCTGGAACTCGCTATTAAGACCAGGCTGGCCTTGAACTCACAGAGATCTGCCTGTCTCTGCCTCAGAGTGCTGGGACTAAAGGCTTACACCACCATGCCCAGCTCAAGCAATTTTTTTTTTGGTCTTTTTGAAGCAGGGTCTCTCTGTAGCCCCAGCTGTCCTGGAACTCACTATGTAGACCAGGCTGGCCTTGAACTCACAGAGATCTGCCTGCCTCTGCCTCCCGAGTGCTGGGATTAAAGGCATGTGCCACCACGCCTGGCCCATCAAGCAATTTTTTTAAAACAGAATAAAGGCCAGCTTGTGCTGCATAGTGAGACCATGTCTCAAAAAGTAAAATAAGGGGCTGGAGAGCTGGCTCAGTGGTTAAGAGCACTGGCTCTTCTTGCAGAGGACCTAGGTTCGGTTCCCAGCCACCACATGACAGCTAACAACCATCCATAACTCCAGTTCCAAGGGATCCAAGGCCCTCTTTTGACCTTCATGGGCATTGTACAACATGGGTGCACTTACATACATGCAGGCAATACACTCACACACATAAAATGAAAATAATAAATATTAAGTAAAATAAAATTAAAAATGTAGAAACATGATCTCTAAGTTTTAGAAATAATAACCTTTCTTTGCTGATATTCATTTCTCTGAGTAAACAAGGCTTAGACGTAGTTGGATTTTGTAAGATTTGTTAGAAACTATGAGTACCATAATAAAAAAAAAAAAAACAACCAGCTACTATGTTTTCTCAGGACACAGGGTTTAAAGTTAGTGCTCTTCAGATCTTAATAGCATCAGAAGAAATAGGAAAAAGGATATCATTCAGTAGACTGCATTCCTTATGTCTGCCTTGGTATGGGGGAGAGTGGACTGAGACACAACAGCAGAAAGTTCCTGTTGGGCACAGACAAGGAGCAAAGGCCCTGCCACACTCTCACATGGAATAGTTTAGTATCTTTTTTTTTTTCTACAGAGCTTCCATTAAGGAGAATGTGGAGCTGATTCAAGTTAAAAAGCTGTTATATGAAAGGAATACCTCACTGGCAGCCACAAAAGCCCAATTAACTGAAGTTCGAGAAGTGAGTTACTGTAATCAGCTGTGCTTTCTAGAGAGGGAAAAACCCATTAGTTCTTGCATGGGGCCACAGGTTCAATCCCTAGTACCATGAAAAGCCATGTGGGGAGGGGAGTGGAGGGTGTTAGTTTAAAAAAATCTACATTTCTCCCTCCTCCCTCCTTCCCTCTTCTTCCTCCTCCTCTTTTTCCTTTCTTCCTCTTCCTCCTTTTCCTCCAGATGGGGACTTCCTCTGTAGCCTGGGCCACCCAGAACTCACTACCTCAGGCTGCCCTCAGCCTCACACAATCCCCCTTTCTCAGCTTCCTAAATGCCAGGATTGGCAGCGTGAGCCACCACACCCAGCTGTTTTCTCTATTTTACGTGTGAGAGGCCATAATTCAGAGAGACTGAGGTCATATAATTTACAGATGACCTTCAGGTCCGAGTCTTGTACGTCTGTTGTTTTCCCAGTATTCCTGTTAGGGATGTTGTGGAAACTTCTGAGAGTCAAGAGATCAGCAACCAAGTCAGGTGAAGGAAAGGGAGTTTATTTCTGCCAGCTGGCTGACACTTGGATCACTCTGTAATAGTGCCAACCCTGAGCTCAAGTTTGTAGGGAAATTTAGAGTCAACGTATATGCAGAAGTCAAGTGAGTAGAGGGTTCCAGATGTGTATACGCGGTAGTTAAGCAAGTGGTTACACATGAGCACGCGGTTACAAAAGCTAACAAGAGCCTGGTGGCTCACGCCTTTCATCCCAGTACTTGGGAGGCAGAGGCAGGTGGATCTCAGTGAGTTCAAGGTCAGCCTGGTTTACATAGCGAGTTCCAGGCCAACTGGAACTACAGAGAGAACCTGTCTCAAAAAAAACCAAAAAGAAAAAAGAAAAAAAAAATCACAAGAATGTGTCATTTTGGCAAACCAAGGTTTCAGTGGGGTACATGGTAGTTAAGCCTGGAACAAACCATAAGGGGCAGGGCAGATTCCTGTTTGCTTTCCTTACTCCTTTCTTAGCTCAGCTCACAGCCTTCCACAGTTTAAAGTTCCTAGTAACCATCTCATGTTAGTGAATTTTTATTGCTGCCACAGGGAGAAGGTTCAGGTCTGCCTGCTCAAGTGGAATTTCGCAGGGTTAGCTTGTGTTGGGGTTAAGGTCCCAGCCAAGGGGACCAGAATGTGATTACACTGAAAAACCATGAGTGGTGAACGGGGAAGGACCGGAAGTGAGCCTTTACTGGGCACTTTCTACAAGCTGTCCCAGATGCTTAAGACTGTGACTTTTTTTTTTTTTTTTTTTTTAACACTGACAGCCCTCAAGATAAGGACATAGAGCAGATGAGGGAACTGTACCCCAATAGCCCAAGTTGTAAAGACAGTAAGAGGCAGGATTTGATTCAGGCTGTTACCAAAGTTACCTCAGTACCACACATTAGAAACTAATATCTAAATGGTGGAAATAGGGTGTCAGGGTCTAAGTTACAGCTCAGTGCCATTCTTTTATTGAACTAGTATACACAGAGCTTTAAAAACTCTGCAAAGCACTGGGATACAAAGATTACAGTGCCAGGGCTGTTGAGATGGCTCAGTGCGCAAAGGTGCTTGCTGCCAAGCCTGAAAACCTGAGTTCAATCTCTAGAACCCACGCGGTGTAAGGAGAAAACTGACTCCCTCTGACCTCTGTGCACATCATGATGTGAATCCCCTCCCTCACACATAAATAAATGAATAGTTTCTTTCAAGTTAAAAAAAAAAAAAAAAAAGCAAAAGATTACATTGACAAGTAAGACAGCTGCAATCTCCAGGGCTCTTACGGAATGGGAGAGCAGTACCTAGAGAAGAACAATTCTAAACGCAGACATGGGGTGGGTGAAAAGAGTATTCAGACCCCCCCTCCAGAAGTAGGGGTGCAAGACCAAAGGATTTATAAACAGTAGGTTTATGAGCTAGAAGTACTGAAAGATTCGCAGGTGGTATCAAGTGTGCAACACCAAGTGTGCAACACCAAGTGTGCAACATGAAGTGTACAGAAAAGGAAAAGATTTTCTAGAGGAGGTGGGAGTAGACTGAGGCACAAAGGTAGATACAGCAGGTGTTAGGGCCCAGAACTAGGAATTTAAGTTTCACACCCCCTCCCTATCCCTGCCTCCCCCCCCTAGTTTTTGTCAACTTGACAGGAACTAGAGATACCTGGGAAGGGTGAACCTCGACTGAGGAATTTCCTCTATCTGATTTGCCTACAGCCATGTTTGTGAAGCATTTTCCTAACTGCTGATTTATGCGGGAGGGCCTGGCTCACTATGGTGCTGCCACCCCTAGGCAGGTGAGCCTGGGCTGCCTAAGAAAGGTAGCTGAGCAAGGCAGGGGAAGCAAGCCAGTAAGCATCGTTCCTCCATGGTCTCTGCTTCCTTGAGTTCCTGCCTTGGCTTCCCTCAATGAGGACTTGTAAGCTGAGATACACTCTTCCCTCCCCCAGTTGCTTTTGGTCAGTGTTTTATCACAGCAACAGAAATGCAAACTAGGACCATCTGACAGAGAGTGGCAGCTGGAGAAGGGTTTTAGCAAGTTGATAATATGATCAGCTTCCTCCTCCAAAAGATTTCATAGTCTTAAAAAATGCCTGAACTGCCGGGTGTTGTGGTGCACGCCTTTAATCCCAGCACTTGGGAGACAGAGGCAAGTGGATCTCTCTGAGTTCAAGGCCAGCCTGGTCTACATAATGAGTTCCAGGACAGCCTGGGCTACAGGGAGACCCTGTCTCAAAAAGACCAAAAAAAAGAATTTTATATGAAGAAATTAATTTCATTCTTAAGACCATCTGTGAGGTAGGACCTACTGACCCCATTTCCCAAAGAATCTGAGGTTCAAGAAACTCAGGCACCTGAGTTTAGAGGGTCATTCACTTTGGATGCTGCTGCCACTGTTGGGTATGGCCCATTGTGCTGGTTATTTTTTTGTCAATTAGGCACAACTAGAGTCACCTGGGAAAAGGAAAACCACCAAAAAAACGTTAATAAGTGGGTACACAAATTGATTTGATTTATAGGATTTTGCGCTTGATTTTTTAATTTTTATTTTATGTGTATGAGTATTATGCCTGCATGTGTGTAAGTGCATCATGTTGTGCGGTGCCTGCAGAGTGGATGTCAGATCCCCTGGAACTGGAGTTCCAGACAGTTAGCTGCCATGTGGGTGCTGGGATTTGAACCCAGGTGTTATGAAAGAAGAGCCAGTATTCTTAACCATTGAACCATCTCTCCAGCCCCATATTTGCAGGACTTTAAAAAAGATTTTGTTATTTTTATTTTTTGTGTGTATGAGTGTTTTGCCTGCATGTAAGAATACCATGTAAAAAATAAATAAATAAAAAAAAATAATTAAATAAAAATAACAAATAAGGGGTTGGGTGTGGTGGCGCAGGCCTTTGATCTTAGCACTTGGGAGGCAGAGGCAGGAGGATCTTTGTGAGTTCGAGGCCAGCCTGGTCTACATAGTTAGTTCCAGGACAGCTGGGGCTACAGGGAGACCCTGTCTCAAAAAGACAAAAAAAAAAAAAAAAACTAAAAACATGTATATGCAGTGCTCTCAGAGACCAGAAGAGGGCACTGGATCCCCTGGAACTGCCAGTGTGGGCTCTGGGAACTGAACCTGGATCCTTTGAAAGAGCAGCCAGTGCTCTTAAATGCTGAGCTATCTCTAAGCCCCATTTGTTTTTGTTTTGTTTTGTTTTGTTTTGAGACAGGATCTTGCTGTAGTCCCACCTGGCCTAGAATTCACTATTATGTAGACCAGGCTGGCTTCAGTCTCACAGAGATTTGCCTGCCTCTGGCTCCCAAGTGCTGGGGTTAATGGCATGCACCATCACATGTAACTATACAGGATTTTTATAGGCTCATTTTTTGTTTGTTTGCTTTTTAGGTGCTTGGGAGTTGTACCTTTATAGAAATAAATATTTATATATACATATGTTATAGAGATATCAATTATATCATGAAATTAGTGAACTACTAAAGTAATACTTCTTTCTTTCTTCTAGGCATATGAAGTCTTGCTCCAAAAGGTAATGGATAAGGATTCTTTGAATTTATTTCTTAGTGATCAAAGTAATGAAACCCAAAGAAATCTATATTCATCTCCAAGTAATATAGCAACAGAATTTAGCCGATGAAATTAGTTTTTATGTCATATAGTTTCTATTAAGATGAATTATACTATCACTACTACAAATGATATTTATTGTATTGTTTTCATTAAAAATGAAATACACTGGGCATGGTGGCACACACCTTTGATCCCAGCACTCGGGAGGCAGAGGCAGGTGGATCTCTGTGAGTTCAAGGCCAGCCTGGTCTACATAGTGAATTTCAGGACAGCTGGGGCTACAGGGAGACCCTGTCTCAAAAAGACCAAAAAAAAAAAAAAAAAATTCCTAAGAGTGATCTTTTTGCATGTGTGAGGTGCTGAGCTGTCCCATGGCTGTTGAGATACTCTGACAAGCTCAAGTGTTTGGCCCTGCCACTGCTGTGAATGGGATGCAGGCAAAGCTGGGTGAATATCTTTGACAGAGTCACTAAGGCAGGAACTAAGCACAAACATCCACAGCTATGCCTCAACAGGGGCATCCACCAGAAAGCGTCATGCAACATCTAGAGCTAACATGTTGTTCTCCTAGGTGCAAAGGGAGAAGTACATCATCACAAAAACCAAGTAAAGAAGCTTAGAAAGTTAAGGCAGCTTTTGAAAATAGCACCTAACTTAGAGCCAGGGATTAATTTGGGTCTTGGAAAAATTAAGACTCCAGTGATGAATTACAGTTACTCAGAATGGAAAATATTTCCTAAAAGGGAAACTGTACCTCCAGAGAAATGTTAAGGCAGAAAACACAGTTACTGTCCAGCGGGAAGGCAGTTTGCTATTCGTCATCGTTTCATGTTTGTTCTTTGTCACAATCATCTGGGAATGTCAGGGTTCACTGCCATCTGGAGACCACTCCCATTGAGTGATATCATCATTCCTAGAGCAATTTTCCTTTGGCTACAGAATCAGGGAATCTTGAGTGCAGCCCATGACGCCCTCCTCAGCCAAGTGAATGAGCTCCAGACAGAGCTGACAGAGGAGAGCAAGAAGGCCATGAACTTCAAGAGCCAACTGGAAGATGTGTCTATCTTGCAGATAACCCTAAAGGAGGTAAATAACAGTAGAGAAAAGATGCTACCAACTGTGCTACCTTGTAGGTTGGGGCAGCAGCTCACTCACCTAGAGCACAGTAAGCCCTGGGTTCCATCCGTAACACGTAAAACCAGATGTGGTGCTGGCCATGGTGGCACATGCCTTTAATAGCAGCACTCAGCAGGCGGAGGCACGTGAATCTCTGTGAGTTCAAGTCCAGTCTGGTCTATATAGCAGGGCAGCCAGGAAAAAAAACCCCAAAGCAAATAAACAAAAAACTGGCAAGGTAACACACTCCTGTAATGTCAGATATCTGGAGATGGAGATAAGAAAATGAGAATTCAAGGTTATCCTATTTGAGGTCAGCCTGGGATACTTAAGACCTGGTTTCAACAAACAAGGTGGAGGGGGGACAGAGGGAGGGACTAGAGAGATGATTCAATAGTTAAGAGCACTGGCTGCTCTTGCAGAGGACTCAGATTAAATTCCTAGCACCCACATAGAACCTAACTCCAGTTCCAGGCAATCTGACATCCTCTTCTGACCTCTGCAGGTATTGCATGACACAGGTGCACTTACATACAAGTGGGCAAAACACTCATGCCTATGAAATAAAATTTAAAAATATTTAAAAATTGAAAAAAAAGTAGCCGGGTGTGGTGGCGCATGCCTTCAGTCCCAGCCCACAGGAGGCAGAGGCAGGCGGATCTCTGTGAGTTCAAGATCAGCCTGGTCTACATAGTGAGTTCCAGGCCAGCTGGGGCAACAGGGAGACCCTGTCTCAAAACAATGACAAACAAACAAATAAAATTGAAAAAAAATACTGGGCTGGTAAGATGGCTCAGAAGATAAAGGCACTTGTCACCAAGCCTGACAGCACCAAGAAGAGATGTCCCTGAGTGCTGGGACTAAAAGTATGCACCACCACACCTGGCCTGGTTCTCAGTATTTAATTCAAGTTTGTCAGGCTTGGTGACAATCGCCCTTACATGTTGAGCCATCTTGTTGGCCCCTTTCTCTTTCATAATGTTTGTCATTTTCCTAAGAGTAGGAACACAGACATAAGGAAAACTTGCTTGAAAGAATTTTCATAGACTAGAGAGATGGCTCATCAATTAAGAGCACTGGCTGCTCTTGCAGAAGATCTGGGTTCAATTCCCAGCACCCACAAGGTGGCTAACAACCATCCTTAACTCCAGTTCCAGGGGAATCTGATGTCCTCTTCTGACTTCTGTGGGCATTGCATGACACAGGTGCACTTATATACATGCAGGCAATACACTTATACACATAAAATAAAACTAATAAGAGCCAGGTGTGATGGTGCACACCTGTAGTCCCAGCACTCGGGAGGCAGAGGCAGGTGGATCTCTGTGAGTTCAAGGCCAGCCTGGTCTATATAGTGAGTTCCAGGAAAGCTGAGGCTACAGGGAGACCCTGCTTTAAAAAGACCAAAAAATTAAAAAATAAAATAATAAATAAAAAGTTAAAACAATTTTTATTAATTCCAATAAAAGTTTCTAGCCCACCTTCAGTTGGTTCCAGTCTTTCTAGTCAAATGGCTACTTGTGGAACCAGAAAGAGCCACAGCCAAACCCTCGCCCACAAGGGAAAAGAGAAAGCCTTGTAGTCTTAGAGTTCTGTCATTCTTAGTTTCAGGAAAGAGTTGAAGATTTGGAAAATGAACGGAAATTGCTGAATGACAGTTATGACAGACTCCTAAAAGAGTGAGTACTTTGGGTCCTAGAACATAGTTTTCTATAAGAGAAATGGTGCATCTTCCAACTTTTACACAGATCTAGCATTGATACATATATTCAGAAAATGATACTCAGCATTGTTAGTGAGAATATAAATTCATATGGTTTTTTGGAAGAAAATTTGACTCTATCTGTCAAAATGTTAAATGCGTGTCATTTAAAAAATATTTACTTTGTTCACGATATGAGTGCACTTATGGGTGCGTGCCTGGCATAAATAAGATATTTTTTTAAATGCAAAAAAAAAAAAAAGGCCAGGCGTGGTGGCGCATGCCTGTAGTCCCAGCACTTGGGAGGCAGAAGCAGGCAAATCTCTGTGAGTTCAAGACCAGCCTGGTCTACATAGTGAGTTCCAGGACAGCTGGGGCTACAAGAAGACCCTGTCTCAAAAAGACCAAAAAAAAAAAAAAACAAAAAAAAATTTACTTCAGGGGCTAGAGAGAGTGCAGTGGTTAAGAACACTGACTGTTCTTGCAGAAGACCCAGGTTTGAATCCCAGCATCCACATGGCAGCTGACGATGGTCTGTAACTCCAGTTCCAGGGGATCCAACAGTCTCTTCTGTCCACAGGCATTGCACGACATGGGTGCACTTACTGACATGCAGGCAATACACTCATACACATAAAATAAAAATAATAGATAAAATTAAAAAAAAATTTTTTTTTGTCTTTTTTGAGACAGGGTCACTCAGTAACCCCAGCTGGCCTGGAACTCACTATGTAGACCAGGCTGGCCTCAAACTCACAGAGATCCATCTGCCTCTGCCTCCCTAGTGCTGGGATTAAAGGCATGCACCACCACACCCAGCAGTATTATTTTTATTTTATGTATTTGAGTGCATTGCCTGCGTGAATGTGAGTGCACCTGTGTCATGCAATGCCATGGAGGTCAGAAGAGGGCCTTGGATTCCCTGGAACTGGATAGAGTTAAGGACGGCTTGTAGCTGCCATGTGGGTCCTGGGAATCGAACCTGGGTTCTCTGCAAGAACAGTCAGTGCTCTTAACTGCTGAGCCATCTCTTCGGCCCCATAAATATTTTCCAAAAATTTACTTCTTCCTATTCTATGTATGTATGTGTACCACGTGCATCCTGGTGCCCACAGAGACCAGAAGAGGGAGCGAGAGCCCCTGGAATTGGAATTACAGGCAGTTGTGAGTCACCATGTGGTGCAGATAATAAATGACTAAGAGTTAGCCTTGTATGTTTCCTACTCAAGACAGGTTTGCCTGCCAGCTAAGAACTATGGAAGGGGTACAGGTGTTGACAAGTTTAGTTGATGCTCTTAAATATAGTAACTAATAATCTAGTTTAAAGGAAAGTATCTTGTAAACTAGTTGTGGGCAAGGTAGATGGGGGATAAGATGAAGAGGAAGAATTTGTTCCTAGTTTCTAATTCAGGAGAGCTAAGCATGTCTTAACACATGTTCCCTGCCTAAAGAAAGCCATCATGGGGGCCTGGATAGTTCCGTGGTTAAGAGCAGTTATTGTTCTTACAGAGGACTCAGTTCCCAGCCCCCACATGATGGCTAACAACCACCCATACCTCCAGTTCCAGGGAATCTGACACCCTCTTCCAACCTCCGCAGGCACTGCAGGCACATGGTGCACTTATACACAGTCATGCAGGCAAAACACTCATATACATAAAAAACACAAAAAGAAAAGAGACATTTTTTAAAAAATTAAAAAGAATTTTAAAAAGAAGGCCATCATGTTGGATGATGTACATGTACATGATTGTGGTTTAGCCAGGGGGTACTTGAGATTTAAACAGAAATGGTACTGCACAGTTCTTCAGTGCAACACAAAAATTCCAAAGCAGTTGGTAAATGACAGTTACAAAAAAAGCCAGGGCAGAAAAAACATATAGAGAAATGAGTGATAAAGTAGGTCAAGAAGATGCTGAAACTGTGTAACAAAGATGCTGGATCACACTCCTCAGAGGATCCATCTGACAGTGTACCTCCCGTTTTCAGCATGCTGGACAGCAGTCATCAGCCTCATTGGAGCCCTGAGTTTCTGGGAGAGCAGCTGCCTCGGCACGAGTGTTCCCTGCAGGATCAGCTAGATGCTGAGCTGGAGGAGACTAAAGTCTTACTTCAGGCGAGCAATGAGGAAGGTGGGTCAGGTCTGAGCTTCGTTAAGTGCAGTAGCCTCTACACCTGGTCTAGGAGGAAGGCACTTGGCCTTCACTTCTCCAGTCTCCCTGCGTGATCCTGTGTTTTGTGGGTCATCAGTAACTAGAATTAAAACACAGGCAATTCAATCAGGTTTAGTCAGGGAGACATGACACCTGCCTATGTCACATGTATGCTTTTTCCCATGTGATGTCATGTCATTTGAAAGGATGTCAGTTTGTTTCAAGATTTATTTTTATGGCCAGGTGTGGTGGTGCATGCCTTTAGTCTGAGCACTTGGGAGGTAGAGGCAGGCAGATCTCTGTGAGTTCAAGGCCAGCCTGGTCTACATAGTGAGTTCCAGGCCAGCCTGGGGCTACAGGGAGACACTGTCTCAAAACAAACAAAAGATTTATTTCTATTATGTTTTAATTATGTGTATTTGTGTGTGGGGAGTATGTACACATGAGTATTGTGAACTGCCTGATGTAGGTGCTGGGAGTTGAACTCAGGTCCTCTGCAAGAGCAACATGAGTTCTTAACTGCTGAGCCATCTCTCCAGCCCAAGGATGTCAATTTTTAATTTGTATTTATTTATTTTTTGTGTGTATGAATGTTTTGCCTACATGTATGTATGTGCACCCATGTCTTGCAAAGCCTGCAGAGGCCAGAAGAGGGCATCATATCCCCTGGAGCTGGAGTTAGGGACAGTTGTTAGCCAAAATATGGGTGCTAGGAATTGAACCAGTATCCTCTGGAAGAGCAGCCAGTGTTCTTTACTAATGAACCATCTCTCCAGCCCTTTTAAATTTGTTTTTAAACAGTTTATTGGTTGTTAAGTATTAAAACTCAATTGTCAATCATTTCTGAGATGAATGCGAAATCAGTTTTTCCCCCGACCTGATGGCTAAAACCGAGAAGCAGATTCCTACTGTTTCTTAATTCCTACCACCATTTCAGCCCTTGTCTTTTTTCCATTGATTTGGTGCTCTGGATTTCATTAGGACTTTCACACATGTTGGGCGAGTGATCTACGTGGGGCTCTATACCCAGTTCTTATCTCTTGTGCTGTTTTTGTTGTTGCTGCTGTTTGTTTTGAGACAGGGTGTCATGCTGTGGCTTAGTCTCGCTTTGAACACTTAGTCTTCTTGCCTCTACCTTCCAAATGGATTACAGGCACCATCATGCCCAGCTTAACCCAGCTTCACTTTTGTATCACAGGAGATTTTTTTTTTTTTTTTTTTTTTTTTTTTTAAAAAAAAAAAAAAAAAAAAAAAAAAAAAGAGGACGATAAATCTTTCACTGTGATATATCAAAATAA